CTGGGAGGGTGGAGGGAAGGTGGGTTAGAAAGGGGGAACCGATTACAAGGATGTTCATATAACCTCCTCTCTGGAGGTTGGGCAACAGAAAAGTGGGTGAAGGGGGACATTGGACAGTGTAAGATATGACAAAATAATAATGACTTGTAAATTATCAAAGGTTCATGAAGAAGGGGGGAAAGGAGAGGGAGGGGAAAAATGAGGAGCTGATGCCAGGGGCTCAAGTGGAAAGCAGCTGTTTTGAGAATGATTAGAGCAACAGATGTGCAAATGTGCTTGACACAATGGAAGTATGTATGGATTGTGATAAGCACTGTACGAGTCCCCAATAAAATAATAAGAAAAAACATATCAATCTTGTAGGTAAAGTTCTGCCTTTGTGAATAAATATTATGGAAAGCTTAAAAAAAAGAGTTGTATGAGCCCCCAATAAAATGATTAAAAAGAAGAAAAAAAACTGATTGGACTGTTGACAAATTCAAAAATTTCTAGATCCCAAGTATAGTTCAAAACAAGGAAAATTGTCAGGTCATGGGAGCTCTGTAATGATAGAATGGGATAGAATGGGGTTCTATTTTTACTAGTTGTATTCTAGTATAATTTCAATATATGTCTTGAAAATGTTTTTAAAATAACTCAATCCGTTAAATCATTAGACTAGAAAATATTTAAGAGGAATCTCGACTTTCAAATTAGTTTGCTTTCAATACTGCAAACTATCTTTAAGGCTAGGGCAGCCAGTAATTTTCTGTCATCCTTAGTTTAGCATGTACTTCTTGCAAATTGGATTGTGTACCCTTCTCTTTGAAGCAATGAAACAATTGACTTCTTGAACCCCCTTTTAATTAAATGACATATAGCACAATTTAAAAATGCATAGACTAAAAGAGCATTTTCAAATCTTCTTTAATAAATACAGATTAAGAAAAAATAAAATGCAGCTGTTAACCAATCTAACCTAAAGCTAAGTAAGCAATAATAGTCAATATTTTAACATACCACTACTGTAAGAAAAGTCTAGCTCAAGCGTGACCAGCCTTATTTTATGTACATAAAATAAAAACTAATCAAGAAAAAAATAAAGAAAATGTATAGTTATTTGTTGGATAGTATTTTACTCTTTAAAGTAATCATTATTGAATTCAATGACTTCCTCTGTGCTCATAAATATATTTCTTCAGGGGACATCGGTGTAAACTTCAAGTTGTACCAATAGGAGTATCAAACTATTTTCTCTTTCTTAAGTCTTAAAATACCAAAGGTGCTTATTAAACAAGATGCTATTTATCTTTATTCCTACATCAAATTAACAGACATAGTACCATTCTCATTTTTAAATGTTTCTAAGTTTGAAATGCAACAAATTCTACAGCAAAGGTAACAACATATGTACAAATAGGTATCAG